GTTGAGATTTGTTCCTACTATCCCTAGTTTTTCTACTGTATGGAACTGGAGACTATCATGCTAAGCGAAATAAGCCAATCCCCCCCAAACCAAAGGCTGAATGTTCTCTCTGATATGCGGATGCTAACACACAATCAAGGATAGAGGATAGAAGTTCATTGTATTAGAACAAGAGGAATGAAGGGAAGGGAGGGAATATGGTAATAGGAAAGGCAGTAGAATGAATTGGACATAACTTTCCTATGTTCATATGTGAATATACGGCTAGCAAAACTCCATATCACGTGCAGCCTGAAGAATGGGATTCTAATTAGAATAAGTGATACCCCATGTATGTATAATATCTCAAAATACACTCTACTGTCAAGTATATCTAACAGGAACAAATTTTAAAAATAGATGGATTCAGGTCTAGAGAAAACCTGCACTTTGATGAAAAACAGGGAAGGTTGTTTATTCCCAGGAATTTTGAGAATTTTTGAGACTAGTGGATAATAATTGTTCAGTAGTATAAAAGCTCTTAGAAACTCTTATGCCCAAGAAATAGCAGTTTCACCGAATAGTAGTGTAAGGGTCCGACGGAGAGTCGGAGGGAGAGACCACACAAGAGACTGGCTTCATGCAATTGGCAAAAGGGGATTTATTAATTCAGCATGCTGAGGTTCCAGGCTCACTCAGGAAGATAGAGCAGCCCAGAGCCCAGAGCAGAGGTCAAGCAGAGCTTAAGTACACTTTTTGGGGAGGGCGGGGGCTTTGCATACATCAGAATAAATCATCATGAGGCACGGGAAAATTGAACAACAACTCTGAGACAGGATTAGTACATTCATTGGCAGGAACAGTCTGGGAAGGGGTGATTGGTCACTCAAAGCGGGGTACACATTTAAACTGATTGGTTTTGGAGCCTGGATGCTTACGTGCCGAGCTACTTGGAGCCCTTAGCTAATAAACAACCAGGGAATCAATGGAAATATTTACTGGGCAGTTCAGGTATTGTCCTAACAGCTACAGAGATTACAGGTTCCGGGGGTAGCAGAGGAATTTTAACAATACCTGGTCTATTATTTTTTTAGCCCAAGCCTTTCAATTTAGAAACTTTACAATGCCCAGTCTTTTACACTTTAACTCAGACTTTTGCAGCTTAGAATCAGCTTAGAAATTTTACCTTTACAGTAGGTGGTAGATGGGGGAAGGCAGGGCAGGGCAGTGTTCTTAATGGGAAGAGTAAAGAGTTAGAGGGGAGGGTGGGGTGATGGCCAGTGTGGCAGCAGCCACTGAGCACTAGGCTAAAGCTCAGCAATATAGGAGGGAAGGGTCATCTGGAACTCCAAGAGTTTGAGTGGCATCTACTTAAAACAGATGGCTGACAGCTGCAGCTTGAATCTTACATGGGTTTTGGGTCAAACAGGAGTTGGGTATTTAGCACGTTGCTGCTGCTGCTTCTTTTTTTAAAAAAATTGTATTGTTTTACTATTGTCATGTTTCATTTCTTTTTAATTTCTTTTTCTCCCTCAATATGTTCACTTTTTATTGCATCAATTCTAGGTTCCTCAGATCTATGCTTTCTGGAATTTTATTGAACCCACAGCAGATGCTTCTTAAAATTGACTGCTGTTTCCATGGGTGAATTTTCTTGTTTTCAAGAAGCAAGTCCTTTTTCTCTGCCTTTCAAGTGCTGCTGTGTTCCCCTCTGTCTTTATTGCTGAATCTTCTTATAGATTTTTTTTTTTTTAATGTTTAGTCATCCTTGAATCAGGAGAGGTGACTGTCAACTGATGACTTTTCATATACAGAGGGTGGGTTGTCCCAGGTTCCTTCCTCTCTCTGCCAGGAGTCTTCTGCTCATCTCAGAAGCTAGAAAGGTCCAAATCTTTGGTACCCCTTATGCATCAAAAAGTACTTTATTTCTGTGTCATTTTTTTTTTCTGGGGTTGTTGAAGCCATTTTGCTAGGAGTTTTGTTTCCTGCAGCCTTCCCTTGATTAGAGCTTCACATTGAATACACAAGAGTGACTGCCCAGTGTCTGGCTGGCACTACTGGTGGCGTCATGGAGAAGCCCCTGCTGTGCCGATTTCCTGTTAATTGTGGCACAGAGCCCAGGCCTTTCCAGTGGGACTGATCTGAATCTCTGGGTGGGACTCCAAGCTGTGCTTTCTCTGGGAGCGCCTCCCTGTCTCTGGTCTAGAGGTCTGGCTTCCTAGTAGCAAGATAACGCCATATTGATTCTCTCAATACTATGCTTTCCCAGGAATGAGAATTGTTAAAAACAGTGGATGTAAATCCATAGTCCTTGTGGTGTTCTTATTTCAATTTTTTTATTTTTTTATTTTTTGACTATTAGTCTCTGGTTTGTAAAAATGGCATAGGATGTTGATAGTGGCAATAGAGGTGTATTTTAAGGAGTGTCAGCTCATTTCTACACTTAGTTGTTGTTGTTATTCTTATTATTATTATTATTATTATTATCATCATCATCATCATTATGCCAGGGGTTGAATCCAAGGACACTTAACCACTGAGCAACATCCCGAGTCCTTTTTTATTTTTTATTTTGACACAAGGTCTCACTAGTTTACTTATAGCCTCACTGAATTGTTTAAGGTTAGCTTTAACCTGCAATCTTCCTGCCTCAGCCTCCCAAGATGCTGGGATTACAGGTGTGCGCCATCACACCCAGCATTAGCATTATATTTTATCAGCCACTTCTTTAGGGACTCTTTTGAAACTACTCTTCTACTTTGTCAAGTTTGGCTTAGTTTAATGGAGGCTGGGAATCCATCCACTTCACCGGAGACCGGGGAGTATACCAAGCCTTACAGCTTGTTTTTGCATTTGTTTTCTGGAAAGCATATGAATGATAACATTGTAAACTTTTTGATGCCTGAGAATATCTTTGTTGGTTTTGCCTATCCATGACAATGCTACTCATTACAGATGTAAATATCTTCTTTTATACCATACTATTCTACAAAACTGGTATTGTTAAATTTCTTTCTGGTGTTAGACATGTAGCTGTATATGAGCAGCTTGAATTTCTGTTACTTTCGAAGCAATTCATTTTATTTTCTCAGAGTTTATTCAGTTCTTTATTCTTTGGAATGAAAAAATTAGAAAAGTCTAGGTGGGATGTTTTCATTTATGCTTTTCTGATTTTCTTAGGTCCCCTTTCAGCTGCTTACTCAGGTTTTAGTGCCGCCTAGGAAAACTTGTTTTGATTAAAGCTGCTTTCTGTTTATTTCCTGTGGAAGCTTTATTATAGGCAGATAGCATCTTCTGGTCCTTTTATTAGTCATATTTTCCCTCATTATTTTCTTCTGTTTTGTTCTTTCCTCTTAGGTTTTAAGAATTGAAATGGATCCTATCAGAGCTTCCTGGTAGAATCTTTAAGCTCCAATTGAAGGAAGAAATTTTTTTTTAAAGTTTAAATCTGCTCTTATTTTACTCCAGATAGCTTAGGGGTAGCTGGGCCCCGTGAGGTGAGAATCAGAACTAGAGACAGACTTAGCCGGGAATGTGCTGCCAAAGAGCCTCCAACCCTTATTTGGAACAGCAGTCAGGGCTCCAGGCTGCAGTCTCCCCATTCTTTGGCAGACTGGCTGTCCACTGTGTTTGAGTGACTGGCAAGGCCTTCCAGACCAATTCTCTGTCCTGTCCTGCCTCTGACATCCAGAACAATTCTGAGAACTGGCAAGGAGATGTGCTGGACTGAACAACACCTCGAAGTTGACACAGTCCTCTGCGCATTTCCTTTGCATATTTCTTTGTCACATGTTGGAGATTCACAGTTAGATGAGAACGACTCTCCGTCCAATTTCATCTCTATTTTTCCCCACTTAAATTCCTAGAGATGTCCTTTGTATATTTCATGAAGATCAGAAGGGGAGTAGTTTATATCTCTCCAAGAAATCCGCCTGTTCTCTCCTATAAATGCTGGTCGAAGGTTATTTTTAAGTCAGGAAGGTGAGGACAAATTGCATAAACCAAAAGGAAATGTTGACCTGACAGTCATCTTAAGTATTCAGCCAGCATTTTCTCATTTGGTTACCTCTGATGATCAAGGTCATCAAATAACAACAATAATTTCAACAAAACGGACATAAATCACAAATTTTATGTCAATTTCATTTAGTCTTTATGTGAACCTGAGAAATTTGGTGGGTAACACTCAGAGAAACTAAATAACTCACCCAGCATTGCATAGCTAATACATTGAGAAATAGAAATAGGATCCAAACTCTAATCTGTCTTCAAAAATCTCTACTCTTTTTTTTGACAAACAACCTGAAGAGCCATCCAGTCTCCAGATCCCTGTGGGATTTGCAGTGTCTCAGTTGCTGTTTTTCAATTACTACAATAACACTATATTTCTATTGGAAAATACTATATTTCTCTTGGCAGTAATAATACCTGGAATTCCTTGGTTCATCATCCATCATTTTAAAAAAAACCTAGAGTATTTTACTGATGATCAAGGGATTCTTTCTCAATGAAATCACTTGTCTTCATCTATTTCTTCCATCCTTTATGGCTATAATAGTGGGATCTGACTTCTCACATGTCTCAACATATATGGACCAAAGGCTGCTGTTCTCCATGGCCAGGACTGAATACAGAGCCTTTGAGAGCAGAATTTCAAGAGAGGGTTTGGTGATATTGCTGATGATCCTATTTTACCCTATCCTGTTAGAACCCAAAACATAAAAATCTATAAAAAAGCAAAATCATGGCTAATTTAGCAATTCAAAAAGATAAAACTTGGGTAGAAAGTGTTGGGAGTGATCATGGCCTGGTTGATGAGAAAAATGTTTATTCTTGTTTCATGATGGCAAAGAAATATGCATTTATTTGGTAACTTGCTACTTTGATCCCATAAGCCTTTTCCTTTCAGATGTATTGAAATTAATAAGACATTCAGTGATTACAAATTATGTCACCATAATCATCCAATTCCTTGTTGCCTCTGTTCTAATGAAACCCATATCTTTTTTTTTTTTCTCTAGGTTACGGTCTTTAGTCAAGCAGCTAGAGAGAGGGGAGGCTTCAGTCGTTGACCTTAAGAAGAATCTGGAATATGCAGCCACAGTGCTTGAATCTGTATACATTGATGAAACCAGGTAAGCTAAAGATGACCAGTGTAGTTAATAAAACAATGCTAAAGTTTTTAAATAGCTTTTTAAAGGTGTCCTCCATAGCAAGTATGAGCTATTATTTAAATTACTGGCTTTGGGCCAGGCAAGGTGGGGCATACTTGCAATCCCAGTAGCTGGAAAGGCTGAGGCAGAAGGATCTTGACTTCAAAGTCAGCCTCAGCAACTTAGTGAAGCTCCGATCAATTCAGTGAGACCCTGCCTCTAAATAAAATGTATATATAAAAAAGGGCTGGGATTGTGGCTCAGTGGTTAAGTGCCCCTAGGTTCAACCCTTGGTACAAAATAAATTAATAGATAGATAGATAGATAGATAGATAGATAGATAGATAGATAGATAGAGAGAGAGAGAGAGAGAAGGAGAGATAACTGGCCTTGGAACACTGGTTTCTGCAAGTAAATGAGACAGATCTGGACAAGTCCCTTCTCCTCTAGTCCTCCTCATCTAGAAAAAGAGCTAATAAAACTCCTCTCACGTAGCCATTAGGACAATGAAGTGAGATAATGTACAAGGAGAAAAATTAACAATCGTGGAAAGGTTTCTTATTCAATGTAGAGTTTTACTGCAGTTATTACATCTTGTTAATGTCCGTTTAAAAATTGCACTTGTCCTAATTTACAATATCCATCAGTAGTTGGAGGCTCATGAAGTGGAAGAGAAACACTTGCTCCCTTAAGCCGACAGTATCCATTCTTCAGTCTTATGCATGTTATTGATTTTTCTTAGCAGATTTTTCCACTTGAATTATCCAAAATATTAAAGTGGTTTCAGGTACTAAAAATGCATTTGAAAGTCACAAAATTGCTTTTCATTTGAAAAACGTTGAGATGTTGAGTATGAAAGGCTTTATTTTAATTTTTTTCCCCTAATTTGTACAGGTTTCTCTGTCAGTACTTGTGATGTCTTAGTTTCCTTTGCCAATTCCAATCTGGAAGTAGTTCACTGTAATCTAAGGCTTACATGGTTTATTTTTGTGATGACATGCTATGTTACTAATTTAAGGTAATTTGCTATCACAAGTTTTTTTTTTCAAATATTTTCTTCCCTTCTCCCCAATTTATGCATCTAATGTAAAAAAGAATACTTTTGCAATGATACCTGCTTTTACTGCTTGTTTTCATTATGAATTAATATAGTATGAAGTGTAATTTTAGGTTTTATTATAGTACAACAGTTTATGTTCCCTTCTGGTGTCTGACCTGTGAACAAGTTTGACAAACCAGCAAAACACAACTGTCAGATGGCTTACCTCATTGTGCTCAAAAAAGAATGACATTATTTTGTAAATTTTGCTTGAATTCAGATAATAAGTTACCCAAATCACATCAACCCAGTCCTCTGAAGTAATGATCCTAATTGATGTCAACTGATATTCTTTCTAAATTAATAGGTAACAGGAACTAAATGTCTAATAAATATCTTATTTTTAAATAATGTCACATAGTTCATCTATAAAATTAAGTTAAGTGTCCTTGTGAGTGGATATTTAAATGGAAGTTTTTAATTTCATTCAAACTCTATAAACCTTCAAGGGTTAAGGACACTGGGTACTCCTAAAGTACAGTGTGCCTACCATCTGTGTGGAGCCTCAGAGGGAATGTGTTTAATTCTTCTTCTCCCTTTATTCCATGTGTTAGTCAGCTTTCCACTACTACAACAACTACCCGAAATCATCAATTTATAAAGAGGAAAGATTTATTTTGGTTTCAAGTCAGAGTCCATGATTGATTGGCTCCATTGCTTTTGGACCTGTGACAAAGTAGCATGTCACAGTAGGAATGCATGGTAGATCAAAGCTGCTCACCTCCTGACTGGTAAGTGAAAGGAAGAAAAGAGGCTAAGTCCCACAGTCTCCTTCAGAGGCATGCCCCTAATGACGTGAAGACCTCCCACTAGGCTCCACCCCTTAAAGTTTCCATTACCCCGGAAAACCGCCATTGTCTGGGGACCAAGTCTTCAACACATGGACCTAGAGCATTCAGTGTGGTCAGGGGAGCCAACCTGAAACATCAATAGTGAGTTTCCACAAGCTTTATCAAAATGGCACTGTATATTCTGTGGCCAATTTTTTGGCACCTGTTTTGAAAAGAGAGTTCTAACTTTAGATTTAGTCTCAGTGTCCTGATTATGTTTCATGTTCATCTTTAGGAGACTCCTGGATACAGAGGATGAGCTCAGTGACATTCAGTCAGATGCTGTGCCTTCTGAAGTCCGAGACTGGCTGGCCTCCACCTTTACACGGCAGATGGGGATGATGCTCAGGAGGAGTGAGGAGAAGCCCAGGTTCAAGAGCATCGTTCACGCAGTGCAAGCTGGAATATTTGTGGAGAGGTAAAGATGTCACTCGTTGTTGTTCAAAGCAGCAAAAGGAATGCCAGCTTCCAATAACCAGAAGCTTCTTCCTAATGTGGTTCTGACATCTTTATAAATGCAGAAAATTCTGGGTGGAAGCAGGTAGTCTTCAATGAGAGATGGCAAAAACCTCTATTTTAATCTCTGCAGCATCATTAGGACAAGCTTTTTTGTTTGCTCAAAATTCTTTTTGATAACCAGAAAAAAAAATTAGTTTGAGTTCAATGTCTAATGTTTAAAGAAGGAAATCATCTAATCCATTGTCTTTTGGATCAGATGATGGGTTGGTGAATGTTTCTACCTCTGAAACAAGTCAGAGTGCTTTGAAGTTGCTGACCCAGGGAGGAAAGTTCATTTAAAAGGTGTGAGTTCCCTGTGACACTTCAATTTTGTCATCCTTTTGAAATTGAACTGCTCCGCTACTCCAGAAATAGATTTCCCTTTTCCTGCAATCCCTATTGGGCAATTATACATTTTAGAAATGCCATGGTGAGTTGAAAGTTTGCCTGGGATATTTTTCTTGCTTTTGGATAGTTCTAAAGAACACACTTTCCTAAATGGGTTGCTCACAGGGTTCATCATTCAGGTTCAACTCCTGCACTGCCTTCCATCTTTGATGTACTATATGCTTTTCTAGCAGAACAAGTAACCCATTTTAATAATTTAGTTTCCAATCTGGGCAGCTAGACTTAATGTTTTTGTGTGTGTGTTACCAGGATTCACATGTTTGAGATTGCTTGAATATCTTTTTAATTTAACAGTTAGGCCACTTCAGTGACTGTGAAAAATATCAAAAAAGAAATTTTAGTTTCCTTGGGTCACCAGTCGATTTGACTTCTTATTATTTGCCAATATTTTGTGTAAGTCTGTGGGCTGCTAATCGTTTTTTTTTTGTAAGATATCACATTGCATTTTTCCTCTCTCATTTTGCCAGAATGTATAGACGGACATCAAACATGGTTGGACTAAGCTACCCACCAGCTGTTATTGAAGCATTAAAGGTAATACTGATGAAAAGATTTTACAATGTAGATAGTATCTCATAGAAAGTACGGTTGAATTTGTTGGAAAATAACGGGTTTCCAATTAAAGTTCTTTTCCCAGTTATTCCTGACTTTAATCTTTCCTTATCATTTTCTTATCTGTTCTAACACTGTCAATATATTTTCAGCCTCTGTCTTTATATATATATTTTCAATCAAACTCTATGTTGGTTTTCTTTCTTTCTATTCTTCTATGGGAGTTTAGTTTTATCTTTGATCTGAAATTATGAGATTGATCTAACCTTGGTCATAGGAGGTGTTATGTCAAAAGTATTATTCAACATTAGGAGGCTCTTTGGTGATTGTAATTGTATCATTCCCTGATTACCTACTCCAAATCCACTTTACAGATGAAGAAACTAAGACTCAGCAAAATTTTTTAAAAGGACAGAGTTAATTGGAGACAAAGATAGGATTTGATAGCAGAGTGTCTACCACATGGTAACGTCTCAGTAACGTTTTATGGCATGAATGTATGCCCCCAGAGTTTGTGGATATATACCATCCCCATATATCCTACAGTTTTCCCAAGACTCACACTGAGCCAAATGCTCCATGGAAAGTTATTCAAATGTCTATGCTCAACTGGTCTAGATCCTTCATAGTTTCTACCAACCAGACAAGCTTTTGAAAATCGTATAGAATATCCCTAAGAGCCTTCAAGATGATGTGTCCCTCCAGGTAGTGTTGGTGTAAATCCAGGGGTGCTAAACCCAGTTTAGTTCCGGATTCCAAGGCTGGGCTGTGTAAAGGCCCCGAATCACTGGGCTGGTTGACACTGTAGGGTGTCTACACATAGAACTGTGTTCATTTTCTTGGAGGACACCGTAGAATTCTAAGTTGTGCGAAAATTGTTGTCTTTCTCTGAAATCTGAAAAAGCATGACTGGCTGATAGTGTAACTTACCCAGCAATAAAATAGAATTGCAGGTGGGAGTTCTTAATTAATTTAATGTCAGGCAGGAGCCTCTTGTCTCAGACACATTCAGTAGTTGAACTTAGGAGACTCTATATAAGCAGATTCTCATTTCCGCTTTTTCTGTCTCTATGTGTTTTGTCTCTTCTTAGCTTATCTTAAGAGCAGGAAGGCTACAGCAAGAAGCCATGTGTTTTCTCTCATTCCTCCCTAACTATCATGCTAATGCCCAATACATCAGTGTAATGTACAGTGATCTTTCCCATTTAATCAGTGGAATCGCTTCGTGAGATCCAGTGTTTTGTAACAACCACTATGAAATTGCATTGATTTTCATAATTGAACCTGAAATGTTCAGTGAAAGTCTTGGGAACATTAAAAGCATACTTTAATTTTTAATTTCTTCCTTTATCATGAACACAAACACAGGTGGGTATACTGATACCGAGACATCTATGAGACTATTTCTTCCAAATTGGAGCTTCTTTTCTATGCAGAGTAACTGGGGAAAAAACTCATGGAACAACCTGTGATGTGCACAAATTGTTATTTTATACTTAGGGAAAAGAAAATTCTCAGATGCACATATGTTGTCTTTCTGAAGGAAAAGGGAAAAGATTATTCAAACTAGGAGTGAGTACTAGCTCTAAATTGCTACCCTTCTCCACATGGATTGCCAATATGTGCATGAAGGTTAAAGCTGCTATTTCTTTTGGCCCTACCTCCCGTTGTCTGGGAAAGTTCAAAACCTTTTTTACAATGGCATATTTTTCCAGTTCCCCAGACTCCTGATTTATTTGCAGTGGATTGGAGGTGAGTTGGAGAGAGAGATTCTCTTTCTCTCTCTCTCTTTCTCTTTTTTTTTTTTTTTTTTTTGTATAGTACCTGTTGGGAAAAGAGGTCATTTCCACCTCCCTGCTAAGAGTTTATATAGAATCACTACTGTTCTCTTCTATTGCAGAAAATTTCTCTAAAACTGAGAAAATACAATTCACTAAAATATCCATTATGCTACTATCATGTTAACTTTTGTGGCTAATATAAGAACATGGCTTAAAATGACATTTAAGGAAGAGAACAATGAGCCACCACCCAGCTCTAAATTTGAAGTAGGTTGCAGTTTGTTCTTTTAATTTTTTTCCATTCAATACGTATTCACTTCTAATTTGAGGTATTTTATCTCCAGTCTCCTGGGGTGGGGTTACTGGAAAATGAACAAGTACTCTCTTCTTTAGAACAGCAGCTGTCTGTGGCTCAGGAAGCAACACCTTGGATAAACTCCAGGTTTAAAGTGGGAGGAAGTGAGGAGGTTGAGGCTTCCTTTTGGCTGTGTGAACAGGAAATTGTCCTCAGGCAAAATTTCGTAAAAGAGGGAGAATGGTTTGAGGCAGTTCATCTAGATGCTTGTTAAAATGCAGATTCCAGGCCCAGGATTCTTCAGTCTTGTGTCTCTCATCCTGAATCAGCATTTTCAGTAAGCCCCCTAAATGGTTAGAAAAATCACAATTAAGATTTCCCTAAATGAGGGGCCAAAGAGAATTTCCTCCTCATATACAGTAAATACATCACTCATCCTCCCATTTCTCAGTACTGATATCCAGATAAATCTTGACTTTTTATTATGATAATCTCAATTTCCAGTGATAGAAAGGTTTGTTTTTTTTTTTAATTCATCCTGGAGTCTAGGATTAAAAATTGTCAGATGTGACAAAGTGTTTTCTAACCCACTGAGTTGTCAGTGGCCTTTTCCTTAGGACTGGGGATCAGACAATGGCTGTGACTCATGGCAGTGCCAACTTTAGTAACCAGGGTAAAGCTTCAGGTCTTGAGTAAATCTTTAATAGACTTGCTGTGTATGGCCTGGGCCCTTGCTGGGTATTTTGGGGATGAGACCTGGGTCACAGCACAGACTCACTGAGTTTGCAGTGTCATCTGTCACCAGTGAGATCTCCAAGGCTTGTTACCTGGTTTTGCTACTGCATGGCCATAGACAATTTCCCAGTCTCTCTGAGGCTGCCATCTGCAATGCTGGAAGAGGTGATACCTTTTTCTAGAGTTGTGAGGTTTTGTGAATGTATATAATCACTTCACAGAAACTGTGCTCAGTACTCGGCGCTCTTTCTTTAGTTTTTTTTTAATGGAAGGGTCATGAAGATTGAAGTGAGGTTACCTCTAAATGTGAATTGAAACAATTCAGTTGAAATCCTTAAGGAACATTTTGTGTTTTCCTATGAACAGATGTTTTCCTGGGCCCTGGCTTTCAAGAGATAGATCCTTGATGACCTTGAGATGAATCTGACAGGTGGAATGTTTAGAGAAGGACAGGATTGGGAAGTGACTAGAAAACAAATGATTGTTGTTTCAACTAGACACGCTGTTGACTATGTCTATAAGTAGCTGGTTGTACTAGGTCAAAGGCACTTCAGATCATGTTTACATGTATTTTGGAGTAACTTGATGGACAAATTAGAACTTCATCGATGGTTTATCAAGTGTGTGTTCCACTTAGCTTTTCCTTTTCCTCTTTTCAGTAAGGTGATGTACAGATTTGAGAGCTAGATCCCAGGATTAGTGACTTCAGAAAGGTAGCATTTTTCTGTCTTGTGAAATGAAAGCTTTCTCCTTAGTTTCAGCTCAGAAGACTGAGGTGACATGCTATTAGGCACACTTTATCATGCGTGTTTCTGAATACTTTTAAATGAGTTTACATTGTTAGCTGTAGACTAAGAGGAAGTCATTGGATGATGTGGACAGAAGAGAAGATTGAAGATGAAGCAGCCCAGGGTCTCATGAGTTCCCTAGCAGTAACTCAAGGGCTTGATTGGAAGAGCCTGAGCATAGGGGTCAGTGGACACGTTTCTGTTCTCATTCCACTTGTGTCCTAAGCACTTACTTGAAGGGGTCTTAGGGAAATTAGGCAGGTGTTGGTTTTCTCACCTGTAAAATGGGACTAATGTCACCCACCACTTAGAGTTGTTTTCAGGAAAATTACATACTTATCACAGAGCCTAAAGCCTATCATACAGTATGCACTCAATAAATGATGGCTTTTGTTGCTCAGTAATGAGATGACCTGATTTTTAAACAGAAAATTCTAGGTAGGACTAACAGATTGGAGAAAAATTTGAAGGTGGAAGTTAAGAGTCTTGGACTATGAAATTAACAGGGAAAGGCTACAGAAAGACTCAAAAATGGGGAGATTGGTAGCTCAATAAATGACTGCAGACTAATACGTTCTTCCTCCCTGCCCTGTCCTGCAGGATGTGGACAAGTGGTCCTTTGATGTGTTTTCCCTCAATGAGGCCAGTGGGGATCATGCACTGAAATTCATTTTCTATGAATTACTTACCCGCTATGATCTGATCAGCCGCTTTAAGGTCAGTACTTCATTAAAAAGATAAAAACTAAATAAAATGTACCTGTTTGGTTCATCCTCATATGACTTTTGGATTTAAGACCAAGAGAATACTTTAAAATAGGCCCAAACTGCTCTCCGTGACTCAGAGCGCATCATTAGGACAAGGCTGCTGTGCTTTCCTCCTGGGGGTACTTTTCATTACACCCAGGCTGGTAGGTCGCAGGGACAGTGAGAGGCTGGAGGAGCCCAGTCAGATCCCTGTATTCCTAGAAATACAACCTAAGCCTGCAATAGCCGAGCTCCCCTGTGGGGGCTGCCTGCGGCTCTCATTTCAGCACGACCTCGTGTACTATCGACCACTGCTGTCAGCCAGGCAGTAATGGAGACAGAGTGAGCCTCTGCTCCTTCTGTAAACTTTTTTTCCACCCATTGGCTCATTCAGACAAATACTCTCACATATCATCAGTGACAGACCATTGGTATTTCCCAGCCATTCATGCTTCAAATTAATTCTTCATGTTAAATAAAGAGCATGACTCGTCTCCAGTGTTCTGCTCCCCGCTCAGCCATCTCATACCATGGGCTCTCGAGGTCAGACCAGGTCCTCCAGGGAACCTGTGTATTCTGACATCTGCTGTGTATCTGCTGACATCTCCTTGATCAAGCTCTTCAGACTTCTTGCATCAGATGGACAAGACTTTGGAAATGCAGGGCTTTTTCTGTACAACATATTAAGTTCTCTGGACAGCCTGGTCTTTATCTCCTCCAAAGGACTGCATATTGGAGGATGCTTCCAATTTTTTCTTGCATGACTGTAAATACTTCATGGCAGTGGCCCATAAGTCCTTTATTGTGCATCTGAAACCTGCATGAAGCCGGACACTGTTTCTTTGGAACAAATCTCCTGTGCACATACATATATACCTTTACTTAGCATCTTATTGGCTCACAGGGCTCCAAAGAACAACCCAGCAGCCCCATTTTTAAAAATGATAATGAGTTCATCTCTGACTTCGTGTTTAATTTTTTTAAAAATTAAATGCTCGTGTTTAATTTTTTTTAAAAATCCACAAATGGCAACCACGAAGAACACACCAAGGAGAAACAGGTTATGGAACCTCAGATGCATTTTCCTTAGTGTTTCTTACTAATGTGATCGTTCATCTTCAATTCTTTTCCTTTATCCCTGAACTGCATAATTTACCCGAACCACGGCATTGATCCAGAAAACTAACACAATGAATGTTTCCAGGGTCCCCTTATTTAGTACATACATTTTTCAATTCTTCTTCATTTTCTGCCACATTGAAAAGGAAGCTCTGTCTATTATATCTATTTGAGATGGAAAATCAGTTAAGCCAGTTGGAAATATTGTCCTCAGTTACTGGTAATTTCACGAAAAGAGACTAAAGTCGTTATGTCTTGAGAAACACATGAATGCATACCATGCAGCATATCCAATTTGCCTGTGGGAAAACATAAAATAACACAAAACCTCCAGTTATCAAGTTATTGCAAAGCAGATGTGAGCTGCTGCCAGTAATTAAAGAAATATTGACTTCTTGAAAACCAGGCTGTTTAGGAATTGTCACTGGCTTTGGACACATGAGAAAAACCAAAACACAAAAAACAAAGCCCAAATCATAATGTGATAGTCGGTCATACATGGCAACAGGAACAGTCTGTGTACTCATGTTATTACTTGCAATTTGTTACTGGTGACTTGCAATTTGGAAGATCTCATTCCACTGACCATATGTTAGGAATTGTGAAGGAGTCCACAAAATGGTACTCATTATCACTGTTATTATGACCTTCAACATTGCTTACCACATTGTTTGGGGTCTTGTGTACCTTGGTACTGGAGTGGGATGGTATTTAAGGATAGATGGGGACAAGGAAATTCAGAAGATCAGCATAGTTGCTGATAACATGGTTTTCTACATTGCATCAAAAATCATTGCTTTTCACGTAAGTAAGACTAAATTTCTTTGAGATGATTTTGTGTCATTCCCCAGGGTCCCTGAATTGAAGTAAAGAATGATTTGCAAAGTGGACTGTTCTTTAACCTGGGACATTGTTGGGTTTCTAAATCATCTGATAATTTCTCCACTAATTTTTATTAACTATGAAAAGTTGTAATTTCCTCATGTGACATGTTATCCTCGAGAAAAAAGAGTAGTCAAGGTGCCTTAGACTTTTGCTTCTTCACATAAAGTAAGCCAGTCACTAATTAAGCTTGTGGCTCTCTTTCAGATTCCCATTTCTGCACTTGTCTCATTTGTGGAGGCCCTGGAAGTGGGATACAGCAAGCATAAAAATCCTTACCATAATTTAATGCATGCTGCTGATGTCACCCAGACTGTACATTACCTCCTCTATAAAACAGGAGTGGCAGTAAGTAAAGATAGGAACTCTTAGTTATACAAAAAAGGTGATGTTGGTTTTCATGTTGGAGCATGTTCCAAACCTGATGAGGTTGAGCCCGTAAGGAGCTCATTGTTCTGTGGACTCCCTGTTCCCCAAGCTATCTAACCACGGTGGGAAGTCTTGGGGTCCCCTTGTTGCCTCTGAAACTTTCTCCATCCTGGACTTGATGAAGTAGATATCTGGATGTTGCTAGCATTTCCACCAGGCTATGACCAATAAAAATATAACATCCAAAACAAGATATGTACTCCCAGATATAGAGTGGTACTCTTGACCTCTTGGGATGGTCAAGAACTATGATATACACCCATATTGAGTAGATGTGGCAACCACATTATACCAAGTTACCTTTTGGCTTAAACTGCTAGGTCTTTTTCACAAGACTGTGCTAATTTTTATCCTGGTTGTGTGCATTTGATTTTTTTTTGAACCTAAGGTTCAATTTTTACTTATAATCATTAAAAAAACCTTCTTGCTTATTATGGCTCAGCCTTTCTGCTCTTGAGATGTTTCTGGATCTCTCTTCCCTAATCCATTGTATTAGCTGACCTAACTTGGTTATCTGTGCCTTTGTCTTCTTAAACCTAGATATAAGCCATTAATAAAAGGCAGAGCTGTTAGTGACCAGAGAGGGTCTCAGGACTTTTTACTTCTCCATCAGAATTGGCACCCAAATAGACATTCTTTGGTTGTGGTTATTAATTAGCTCATAAACCCAGGGCACATTTGTTATCTTTACAGCTAAGGCATGTTGAAAGACGTGGTTTAATATCTCACTGAATTAAAAATGGAAAACGGTGGGAAGAATGTTGGCTTTGGAGCTAGATAGAGTGGATGTAAATCTTGATTAATTACTTATTCGATTTGTGACCTATGATGAATTACATGAGTCTCGGAGCCAATATTGTCTCATTTTTAAAGTGGTGGAAAATACTCCACCTTGTAAAAATGCTTTGAAAGCTAGGAATAAAGTATCAAATATATTAAGCCCCTTGTCTGCCTCACAAAGAAAGCTCAATAATTAGGAATTGTTGTTGTTAAAACATTGCAGGATTTTACCAAAACCTATTAGTGTTTTTTTTTTTACTTGTTGTTGTAAAACTGATTTCTTAAAAATGTTATTTAAAGGCTGTCTTTTTTTTTAAGTTATAGAAACACTACAGAGAGAATTTGTTTATTTGATAAAGGATTTCTACCAGAAACTTAGAACAAATGTCACACTTGGTAGTGATTCCAGGAAAGCATGGGGTCAAATACAGGTGTCCACATTTATATTGTTATTGGGTATATTTATGGACATCTCACCTAATGCAATATAGTATTTTAAAAAGTAAAGGAGCACACTGTGAAAATATTGAGATCCTCTCCTTTAGAAAATCAGCTATACGCTATCTACAAGATGAAATAAGAGGGAGCAGGAGCATGGGAGGAATAGATAAACTCTAGATAGGGCAGAGGAGTAGGAGGGGAAGGGAGGGGGCAGGGGGTTATTAATGATGATGGAATGTGATGATCATTATTATCTAAAATACATGCATGAAGACATGAATTGGTGTGAATATACTATGTCTACAACCAGAGATATGAAAAGTTGTGCTCTATATGTGTAATAAGAATTGTAATGCATTCTGCTGTCATATATAATTAAAAAAATGATAAAAAAGGAAATAAGAACCCCCAATAATTTCTGAGTAGAAAAGCTACCTTATACACTGGAAATTAATAAGTATCATAGAAAAATATATATTCCCAACAGTTTTAAAAAATGATTACTTATAAAGAACTTTATAACTCACAAAAGGGAAGCTATAAAACTAAATTGAAGGGCACAAAAATAATGTTTAAATAAGTGGAGAATTACATAGTGTTTTACATGGTATTCTATAGATGGTATTCTATAGATGTCATTTTTCCTCAAACTAATCTATAAATTCAAAAACATACCAATCAAAATTCCTATAGAATTAGCATGATACATGATCATCTGAATCTGAAATTCATGTAAAATAAGTATTTCATAATATTAGGAAAGAAAATTCTGAAAAGAATAATGGGTGGGGGGAGAGTTTTACTCTACAGAGCTGTAGTAATAAAATGAAAATATCTACAGAGCTGTAGTAATAAAATGGATGGCATTTATGTAAAAGTAAACAAATATATCAATAAAACTAATGAGAGAGCCACAAATACACCCAAATATTTATTGATCATGTCTTAGGGGCTAGGTGCTAGGTACTTCTTTACAGATTGCTACAAACTGTGTCTCCTATACAAATTTATCTGTTGAAATCCTAACTCCAAAGTGATGGTATTAGGAAATACCATCATTAGGGATAGACTTGTAGATTAGGTAGTCATGAGCATGTTGTTACCAGACAGTGATATGAGGCTTTTGAGAGGTGATTAGGTCATGAGGGAGAAGCTCACATGAATGGGGTTAGTACCCTTACAACAAAGACCCCAGAGACCCTTCTCTTTCTGCCATGTGAAGATACAGTGAGAAGGTGCCTTTTATGAACTAGGAAATGAGGTTTCACCAGACACCAAATCAGCCAGCATCTTGATCTTGGACTTTGCAGCTTCTATAGTGATGAGAAATGAACGTCTATTGTCTGTGACATTCAGTTATAGCAGCTTGAGTGGACTAAGACCCAGGGTGAGGATACACCTCTTATGCACTTCAAGAACTTACATTCTAGTGGGACAGTATAGCTAGAGTGGACCAATAAAAAATAGATGAGAGGACACACTAATACTCTGCAGAGAATTAAAATTGGGCACCATACAGGGAAAGCTGGGAGTTTGATTAGATAGTCAGGCTTTCCTGACTGTCTCCAGAGGTAATATTTAAGCTGAGCTAGTTGTGGTGTTTAGCTGTAGCCATGCTGAGAGCCAAAGGAGACGATGTCAGCAGACTATGTCAGCGATGGCACAAAAGCCCTGGTGGGAGAATAACCTGGCTGCATTCACTGAGCAGAAATAAGGTGAGCATGGTGGGAACAGCATGTGAGGGTGACAGTGGCACAAGATGAGGTTGAAGGCAGGAGCCAGACCAGGTCTGGCTTTACAAGCCTGGCAATGGTTCCAGTTTTATTCCAAGTGCTGTGGGAAGCCTCTCATGAGTTTTGGAAATGGGAGTGAATGCCATCTGATAAAAATTAGAAAAGGATTATGGTGGAGGATGGATTCAGAGGCAGCCTGTTGGAGGAGGCCTGCAGACAACTAGTGGTAGTCTGAACTAGAAAGTACTTTACTGGGATGGAGTGAAAGAAAAACTTGCCTTTTAGGGTTTAAAATGGGATGACTGATTATAGTCAAAGTACGTTCTACTGTCATGTATAACTAATTAGAACAAATAAATATGATGACTAGAAGTCAGAAGTTAAAGTGATAAATTGAGAGTAAAACTTAGATTTTTGGTTTGATGAACAAGGTTGACAAGAGAGCTTGGTTAAGCAGACCTGGGGGGAAAAGAGTCAACAATTTTGAGTTGAACAATATAAAGATTGAGTTGGATAATATAAAGATTCAGAATCTGTATCAGACCTCTGTGTGGAGATGGCAGGTAGGGAGAAAACAAAAAGACTCTGGGTTATGGGTGAGGTCAGGGATAGACTTGCAGATGAGGTCATCATGAGAATGTTGTCCCCAGATAGTGATAGGGAACCAAACAAGGTTATGTAAAGAGGGTGAACAGAGAGGTAGAAGAGGCTCTGAAGTGGGTCCTGGAGCACTCCAGAGTTTTAAAATGAAAGCAAAGAATTGGAGCCAAAAATAATAACCCGAGTGGAATGGCCAGTGATATTGGGACAAAAGGCAAGAGGACCTGGGGTCATGGAAGCCAAGCAAAGAAAGTAGTGAACTCAGTGGAGGATACCATTGCATTGGTCCCAGTAGCACATCATGGTGGGAAACGTGACAGAGCAAAGTCGTTCAACTTCATGGCCATGAACAAAAGAGAAGAAAGAAGAAGGAAGTGGCTTGGATTCCACTATCCACTTCAAGGGCCGGCCCTCAATGGCTGGAGGACTTTCTACTAGGCCCTACCTCTTTAAGTTTCTACCACATGCCAATAGCACCAAGCTCAAGGACTAAGACTTCAATTCATGGGCCATTGGGGAACATTGAAGATCCAAACTATAGCATTTGATCTTGACCCTCCTGAAACTCATGTCTATCTCACCAAACAAAAGAATTTTCATTCCATCTCCAAGAGTCCCTAAAATCTTAACTCTTCCAACATTAATCAAAAATCCAATTCCAAGTTCTCCTCTAAGACTCAAGGCAAATTTAGCTGCAGTCCCTCAAGCTTGATGTAAGTCCCTCAAAAACTCAAAAAGGGCAAGTTACCTACTTGCTCTTTTCCATGTACATATCTACTTCCAAAATACAATGACACAGGGTGAATATTCACATTCCCAAAGAGAGAAATAGCCAAGTAGCAAGGAGTCATCAGACCCAAACCCAGAAGGACAAACATTAAATTCTACTGTTCCATGTTTGGCATCCAGGGGGCATACCATGTCAGGATGCAGGCTCCCAGAAGCTTGGGCATTGACACCTAACCATTTTGCTAGTAGCAACAACATAGCCACTCTGTTGGGCTGGCTTTGCATGCTGCCTGCAGTTTTCTTCTGAATGATAATCATCATCCTGGCATCTCTGATTGTCTGGGGTCTCTGTTGCAGCTTCGGCTTCATTCTCACAGCTGCATACGTTGCCCTCCCTGTCATGAGCTGCTTATAGGGATTCTGATCCTGCCACACCCTGTATGGCCTCCCAGGCTTTTCTGTGAAGTCTTGGTGGAAGCTTCTATGACCTCATAACTATTGCATTATGCATGCTGCAAAACCAGCATCACATGGAGGATCTCAGGTCAGCAGCCAGTATGAGCTGTACCTGGACCTGTTTAAACAATGACTGCATTGGCTTCTGGGTCCCTTGTGGGCTTAAGTGGTCCTGAGAAA